CTGTCAAGCTCACCTCTAACGCTTTGTGCTGCCTGCGGAACAAATGCGTGGTAGGGACTAGAACTTAAAAAAACAGTAATAATCTGCTGGTGTCAAAAGAAAGCGCACAGACTAGGTAATTTCTCGGGGAGTGTGTTTTCTGAGACCTGGCAGAGGAGGTATGCATCCAGGCAGGCACCTGCTCTCAGAAATAAATTTCCATGCATGTRTAGTGTGCAGGGGGTTTCCGTGTGGGGTTATTAATGGTTGTCATGGATCTCTGAATGCATGTGCTGATCTGAATATTTTGTCTTTAGTGTTTTTGTGTTAGCTTAGGTGTCATCAGTTGGCGTTGCACGAGCCCACAGAGACGGAGGGYAGGCAATCACATATCTTCTGTTTGCCACAAAACTGGTTTGAGCCCTCCCCTTCTTTTAAACACAGTGATGGCTTTTGATACGGGCGATGCCCTGGATAAAGGCCATTTGGTAACTTCTGTGGAATTGTTTTTTTTTTTGTAAAGTTCACGCTTTTCAAAACATAACCTTTACCTTGAACCYTCCAGGGTCTAGATGACGGAGGTGTATGGTAACAGTTGAAGGCCTGGCAGAGCTCATTTTAGAAATCAGTAGTGATTGAGTTGCAGGAGTTTTGTGTGCTTAGCTTGTACTTAAGGGTCCTTCAGCCCCCTCASACAGGAAACCAATGACCTCTTTGCCTTCTGAAACTGCTGTTCTGTAAGATTTGTCAAAATGACTACTCAAATTTGCTGATTGTTTTGGAAGACAAGCTCTTACCACCTCTGCCTCCCTGTTTTCTTGCTAGCTCCTGTGTTACCTTTACTGCTGGGATTGTAATAATTTATAAAATGACACTGCAAAAGTATGCTATTTAAAGTTTTTTAGTCACGTACCTTGGAACTTCCTGCATCTTTCTTCACACAACTTAAAAGTAATGTGTGTAGAACATACCAAGTACTGATTTTTTGCAAGTTAGTTTTTGGACTCTGGTTATACTCTGCCTTGTAACTTATTTACTTGAAGGCTGAGGAACATCTTTAGAAGTGCTTTCTCACATGCTGTCTTGTGAATTCATAATTTTTTTTCTGCATTGAAGATAGAGGGGGGGGAAAAGGGTAAGTTTCAACAAGAGAGTAATGGTAATATTAATGGGGGGAGGAAAGAGTGAGCTGTATCAAGAGATTAATAACAATAGCAACAGCTGTGCCAAAGTATTCAAAGTGTTGCTAGAGTTGAATTTTGGTGGAATCAGTCTCAAACTAACTGGTAGCCCCTTGTGGACCTTTTTTTAACAGTATTAAGATATGCTCAGGTATCTTAGTCTGCATGTGTATTGACTGAGTAGTTTGTGGTATTTACATGATGCTGAGCTTCTGTTTTAGCTATTTCCTTTATTTAGAGCGAAGTAAGGTAGAGTGTCTCTAAAATACACCCCTACATTGCTTTTCCTAAATTACGGAAGTTTGCTTTTAAAGAGCTATTCCGAAAGTTTTTAAAGGATGTTTGCTAACAGTCTTGAATGAAAAATTGTGTAAACAATTTCTAGAAGGAACTGAAGCTTCCTAGGAAAGCCAAAGTCCTGTGAAGGTTGCAGTGTGACCGAGTGGCTGCTGCCAAGGCACTCCTGTGCTGTGGTGTGAGCTGAGGTGCTGCCTTCATTCCCAACAGCAAGCTTCTCTTTAACAACTGTCTGTTGTAAGGCATCTCTCTACCTCTTGAGACASTGGGCAGTAAGGATGGATAGAGAGGTTTGTAACCTAGCAAATGAAGTTGTTGCTAAAGTAAATATTTTTAATTTATTTCCCGTGTAAATTTCTGAAATAATGTTGATTAGTTGTAGCAGTTACTGGGATAAAAAAGATACCAGCRTTGCTGTTGTATCATTACTTGTGTGTTAACAGGTATCTTGTAAAAAAGCAGTGCTGGCTCTCAATGCTTTTCCCTTTATACCATCCTGTAATTTTATTAAGTTAATCACTTTAATTTTGACTCTTTGGAATACAACAGAGYTGTAGAGCAGTATTTATTTTCAGAAAAATGAGACCTGATTTGCTGGCACACACAGTTGAATGCTGACATGTGGCATTCATATTTTCAGTGCAAGGATGTCACTTGTGTGGATGGCTGTGCAAAACCACYTCTGAATATGCAATTCTATTGATCAGCTGTCTGGAAAACCAGCAATTTTTAGCTAGTTGAACAGATTGTGTAAACACATAACAGTGTGTAACTAGCGGTATAAAGATTTAGGTAAGGTGAACATGTTGAAATAGTTTTTGGTTAAACGCTAAGTAACTCTTCTATCAAAT